TGTTAGCGTGACTGGGCAGAGGTTTGTGTGAGCACTAACAAACACAGTGTGTACCATAGAGTTCTTCAGACGGTTCTTGTTCCACGGTTTGATTTTCAGTCCTGAACATTTAATGGTTTTAGTCTCATTTTTTTACCTAAAATATTCAGTAAAAAGTTCCAAAATGTGACTTCTGACCGACTGTTATTCTGCTAGCTTTATTGTTAGCCAAAGGGCAATGTTGTTTGCTACGTTGAAGCTAGCTTTAGCTGCTAACATACTGACGTAGGGTCATATAAAACGCCTTGTCAGTCAAACTTCTCACTTGAGTTTCTGTCTGTTTCCTGTCAGTGATCTCACCATCGACTGACGAAACTGCAGATAAAGATAAGATTCTCTCGCAATTCCTTCGCCAATTACGCCGTGAAAGTTTCGGGATAACAGAACTCCCTGACACCAGTATTTCCAAGGCCTGGAGCGTCTTTTCAGGATTTTATTTTGACAAAGATGATGAAGTTGTGAAGTTATCTAAGAAGACAGATACAGGAATGTTCTGCTGGTTTGTTCATTATAGAAATGTAGAATGGTCCGGAATCAGGGGTCTCAAACGCCAATGACCTGAGGGCGTTTCATTGGTGGGAGGTTTTTTTTTTAAATATATAGTTTATTATGTTTGTCTTAAATATATAGTTTGTCTTATAATGAGACCGATGTGAGAGAAGTCGGGGTAGGAACTGGCCCGCGGGCCGGGAGTTTGGGACATCTGTCTCTGTCTGCTTATCTCCAACTTTAATCTTCAATAACGTTTTCCGAGGCTGCGGAGAGTTCACGGGTTCTGTTGTGGTGTCAGTGGTGAAGCCCGTCAGTGGTGACGCTGCTCTGCACAGACGTATTAACAACTGTCTGCACATCAGGTCCAGGAAACCAAATGGGAATTCTCATCAGAATTCCGAGCGTCTGCAGCCGTTTATGTCTGAGCGAAAAAAGAAAAAAAATGTTCTTCAAAAGGGTCAGCTCCTACAGGGGTCCTAGAGGGTCCACAGAGGTACTGCAGGGGGTTGTAGAACTTTTGGATCACTAGACAATTTATATACCTTAGTCACACTTTTTTCTTCTTTTGCTGGGTTTGAGACTTATCTAAAGGATGAAAAAAAGTGCAACTTATAGTCCAGAAATTGTTTTTTAGGATTTTAAATCTTACATGTCAGTATTTGGAGTATTCGTATACCATTTATTGCTAACAGCTAACAGATTTTTATTTTCCCTGAAAAAAAAAAACTAATCCTTATTCCAAATGTTTTTTTCAGAGTCAACAACTGACCGGCCTGCCTGCGGTCCAGACCAGTCTCCATGGTGACGGAGTTGTTTACCATCTGAACATCCACCGACGTTCCTCGATGTGAAGTGAGTTCGTATAAATAACAAAAACAATCTCTGACTTTTTTTTTTTACATAAATATTCTGAAAACATTTTTCTTCATCAAGCCCGTGTTTTTAACCTGATATGGAAAATGTGTGTTTGTGCAACAGTGTTCCAGGTATTTTAAGAATTCCTCTGTGGTGAAACTAACAAAACAAGTGAATATGACCCTTGAGAATTTCTTATTTGGACAAATGTTTGGTTTGGACACGGACGTTGAACTGACTCACAGTTTGGTTTGACGTGGACGTGGACTCCGTCATGGCACATTTGAACCACGTTCACTGGTTCATTTACAGAGACTTCCATTTTCTAATCAACTAAAATCCTGCGTGTTTGTGAGTAGTAATGAAAATAAGGAGTGAGACTAAATAAAGACCTGCGTTTTTGTAGTTTTTCTGTTTATAGTTAAGGAGAAACAAGAACGACAGAAGAATGACAGAACTTCATGAACCAACTTTTGTTTTTGTTTTTTTAACTACAGTGGTTCCTCGTCTATCGCGAGAGTTACGTCCGATAGTTATTGTATTATTTACGTATACATTAACCCTTTACGAAACCGTTAGGAGGCAGCGTAGGACGTGAAATGTGGCAAAAAAACTTAACGAAACTTTCAAAAAATCTCGTTCACGTGTACGTACAGATAATACCCTGTTGAAAACTGTTACAAAATGTTTTTAAATTTATTTATCTTAGGCTAGAAAATGCTCTCGTTATCACGAAAATAATGAAAATATTGAACTTAATTTATTTATCTTAGGCTAGAAAATAATGAAAATATTGAAAATTCAAATTTTTTTATATACCGAAAATCCCGCGATATATCGAAAAATCCGCACTACGAAAAAACCCGCGATATATCGAAAAATCCGCACTACAAGAAAATTACAAAGATATTAAAAACCCGCGAGGCACTGAGGGACGAGGGACACACACAAAAAAAACAAAGTTACATCAACCCGATTGTTTCACAGTGATGACGACAGCTGTGACGCAACAAATGGAAGAAGCAGAGAAGATTTGGTAAAGATCTAAACTCCCTCTGGAGGGACGGTCCGGTGTGGGTGTGTGGTCTGACTTCGTCTGTAACTCTACAGACCGAACAACTGACATGTGACCAGCACTGAATCAAGCAGGAGTCCCGGGTTCTGCACTCATTACTGGCTGCGCCGTCCGCGCGCTTTACGCACCATGGAAGAGGTTTTACGCGCGGCGGAGAGCGGGGCGCAGAATGTCTCCTGGACCCGGGAGAACGGGAGCATGCTGGGAAACATCTCGGCGAATCCTCTGAAGAGAAACGAAGACGTGGCCAAAGTCGAAGTCACCGTCCTGGTCCTGGTTCTTCTGCTGGCGCTCACCGGAAACGCGTGCGTCCTGTGGGCCGTCAGCGCCACGAAGCGCCACCAGTCCCGGATGTATTACTTCATGAAGCACCTGAGCATCGCCGACCTGGTGGTCGCCGTCTTCCAGGTTCTTCCGCAGCTGATCTGGGACATCACCTTCCGCTTTTACGGCCCGGATCTGCTGTGTCGGACGGTGAAATACCTCCAGGTCGTGGGCATGTTCGCCTCCACCTACATGCTGGTGCTGATGTCCGTGGACAGGTGCGTCGCCATCTGCCAACCTCTGCGCACCGTCGACAAGAGCATCGACCGCTTCTGCGTGCTCTTCTCCTGGGCACTCAGCTTGATTTTCAGCTCCCCCCAGGTTTACATCTTCTCTCTGAGGGAGGTGGGGGACGGCGTGTATGACTGCTGGGGGGACTTTGTGCAGCCCTGGGGGGCCAAGGCATACATCACCTGGATGAGCGTCAGCATCTATATTTTGCCGGTGGTCATCCTGAGCGTATGCTATGGTTTGGTGTGTTTTAAGTTATGGCAAAATTTGAATTTAAAAACCAAGAGAGGGCCTTTACGGGCCTTTGTTTCCAGGGCGTCCAGAGACGCCCACCCTCTGTCGGGGGTCAGCAGCGTGAGGCTCGTTTCCAAAGCAAAGATTCGAACAGTGAAAATGACATTCGTGGTTGTCCTGGCCTACGTGGTCTGCTGGACCCCGTTCTTCTTTGTCCAGATGTGGTCCGCATGGGATCCTGCTGCCCCCAGAGAAGGTACAGTTGATGTTTAGTTAATGACCCAGAAACCACAGCCGTCGTTAGTGACGACTATTAAACACCGGCAAAAGTGAAAACTGAAAACAGCTGAGAATACCTAATAATATATTATATTGTTTAAAAAAAAAGGTTTTTACTTAATATTTAATCATAACTTTAACTCTGTGTGTCAGTTGGAAAACACAGTCGGTTCTTCCTCCATCTTTACGAGATTAAAATGACATTATTCCGTGAGTGTCATGTTTGTTCGATGTTTAGTGAAATAGAACTTTAATATTAAAAGAGTTTAAAGTCAAGCTCCGACACAATGACGTCATTTAATCAGCCAAAAAAAAAACCCCAACAAAACCCCATAAACAACAGCACGGCTTTCATTTTACTTTGGCTCAAAGAAATAAATAGTTTTTCACGTAAATTAAATTGTGTTTTTGACTTTAACTTTTACCTGGATGTTTGTCAACTGATTCATGTCTTTTCAACACAAATATATATATACATATATATAAATATATACATGTATTTATATATAATAGTCACATAATCTCAAATATATTTGAAGCATAAATGTAAATATATATTTAGGACTGCGTAAGAAATATACTTCCAAACTCTGGCACGTACAGTATACAGTGGTTATCACTGATAAGAGAACAAGAGGAAATGGGCCGCGACATTAAAGAGCCCCCCCACCCTCTCTCTCCCTCTCTCTCCCTCCCTCTCTCTCTCATGCTCCAAACATTTGGAGTGGTGTCACATAAATAAGACTAAGTTTGTTGATTCCAAACTTCCAGGGCAGACACCGGTGTAATGTCCCTTTTTCCCCAGTCCTCTTACACAGCAGTTCACAAAAATAAACACATTACAGGCAGAAATACCTGACATGTTGACAAAGACGCCCCTGTGTCTGGGTCAGAAACAGCGTTTATTAACAGCATTTAGCTCAGAGAAAGATATTAAAATATAATAGAGAGAGAGAGAGCCTTTGCCGATATGCCGATATTGTCCAAACACCTAATTTCCGATTCCGATATCAACCGATACAGGCCTGGTAATATTTATTTAATTACCTGGCACAATCCCTTGATTTTTAAAATGAGCTACAATGCTGCCATCTAGTGGCGTTCCCCTTCAACTCTTTTCAGGGCACATCATTTGGTAAAACCCAGGCTTTGCGTTATCGGGTTTTTATTATCGGAGTAAAAAAACGAATGAATTAATCTTACAGATATTACATAATTATGTTAATATCGGGCCGATATTATCGGACATCCTTAAAAAAACATATAAACTGCTCTAACTTATTTTATTCTTTACTTCCTGTGTCCCTGCAGACATGGCCTTCATCATCGCCATGCTGCTGGCCAGCCTCAACTCCTGCTGCAACCCCTGGATCTACATGTTCTTCGCCGGTCACCTGTTCCACGACCTGATGCACCGTCTGTGCTGCGGCTGCGGCTGCGGCTGCAGACGGAACCCGACAGAGAAACACTGTCGGCGGCGGCACCGGGGGACCTCGTCCACTTACATCATCAGGAACACCAACCACGGGCCGAGCCTCGCGCACACGTCCAGCACGGGAGTGCAGGACACGGAGGAGCCGGCGGAGAGTCACTCAAGCTTCTGACCTGAAGTCGGTGAGACGTGCAGTTCGAGCAGACCGGGGTTTCTAATCTGTGTTTGTAGATGTTTATGAATGACGTCACTGGACAATTCAAACCATCCTTTCTGGTCATCTCCTGTACTGTGATAATGGAGAGCAGGAAAAGAAAAAAACCATCACGGTGCCAGAAGCTGGAAAAAAAAAAAAACCCATCACGGTGCCAGAAGCTGACGTCATGACGTTTACCTTCAGAACAAGTTATCAACAGGACCGAGTTAGTTAAATATGGTCTGTTCAGAACATTTCCTCCGTTTGAACTGCAGCTAATGGGTTTTTAAAATCAAATTATAAAAAGACGTGACTCTGTGGACCGAACGGTGCTTTTACCTTTCCAACAGAGCAGTTTAATGGCCGCTTTAAAGATAATTATTGTTCATAAATTGTTCGTTATAATTGGTTCTGATGTTGTTTTATAGATATTTTCATCCTAATGCAAACATTTCTTTTTGTTTTCTTTTTCTTTTTTTACCAGTTTCAAATATCCTGGGATTTTATTCGTTTAGCGTTCATTTACTTTTTTTTTTTTTTTTTGGTACGTTGACCCATGGTTGGTTTCAAACTACAATAATAGTTCCCCCTTGTGGCCAAAATGATTACTCCACCAATTTCGTTTCGTTTATCTCGCAGCATGAAGGATTTAAAACGAAACGGTCGTTTCTTATTTTGTTATTTTGACAGATGTAAAAATTATTAACGAATTTGAAAGATATAAATATCCTCCTAAAATAAAACCTTTTAAATTAAATACAGTCATTGATTGTTTTAGGTTTTCATATCTTTATAGAAATACAATTATAGGCTTAAACCAGAAAAACTCTATCATGCAGTACTCTCAGTACTCAGGACTTATACTTCCTTGCGCAAAACCACTTTTACACCGCTGTACATCTTCCCCACCGACTCAAAGATGGGGCTGACGAAGGTGTGAAGAACCAGTGAGTAGATCCGACCCAGACACTGTGACTCCATCGAACAGCTCTTGATACACGGAACCACAGCCCAGATGTGGCAGAATGAAATACAAGCAAACAGGAAGCCCCAGATCAACGACAGGGGGACACCCAAGATGGCCGTCAGGCAGCGGTAACAGCAGAACTTGGCCACAGTGAAGGTGGCGGCGCTGGTCGTCCACACCCTGTCCAGACTGTGTGTGCCTGCGGGCTCGGCGATCACGTCTTCAAAGTTGACCTGGAGCACAGAATTGACCAACATTAACCCCTGATTGGCCGCATGAGCTGGTGATGTCATCACAGTGGTTTAAGATGTTTCAAGAACTTTCTAACTCTAGGACTGTTGTCACAGACATCACTGTAGGTTCAACTGTTTTTCTACAGTTTCATACCAGTGCAGATTTATCCACAGTGGGACAAAATAATAAATAATCTCAGGGTTGCGCCCCCTATTTTGAGCACCACCGATCTAAATAGTGGTGATAGTGTTTAGGAAAGGGTTGAGAAATATTTGTGTCTCAACCTTTGGCATCTCCAGGAGCTCCCCCACTTTCTTGTAAATTTCGAGGCCTCAGTGGATACCCCCCAGTCCTGACACCAAACCCTTTCACTAGATAAAACCCATTCTTATTTCATAAATTAATTCACATCTGTTTAAAACTTATCTGTTTTTGAGTAAAAAGATTCAAATCTGTGGTTTTACCTGCCATCAGAACTGACCTCCAGGTCGAATTATCGATTAAATCTATTGAATTGATTTTGTTTTTTGTTAGTAAAGTCTCAGGGACTGAAGAGAGAAAAAAAAGAAGTAACATTAGAGAATTAGGAAGACATTTTCAGGTTGGTCTCCTGGTGATCCCACCTTGATCACGTCTTCATTGATCTGCTTTGGATCCCTGTTGACGAGGTCGATGTCTCTGTCCCGTCCCTTCGCCTTCTCTCGGCCCTGGTTTCCGTCCTCCATGGTGCTGTCCTCTGTCCGAGCCTGACGTCCCGATCCAGACCAGAGCAGGGAGTGACCATGTCTAAACTGAAACCCCTCTCAGCGTCAGTCCAGCTGTGGAATCCCAGCAGGCAGATGTCAGTGACGAACTTCACGAGGCTGTCAAATACAGGGAGGGCAATGAAGACACACACACACACACACACACACACACACAATGTCCATTCTTTTGTGCTAATGTGACAAGTCACACTCTCGTCCACCGTTAGCTGCAGAGTGAAACAGGCTGCTGTAGCATTTCACACAGGGCTAACAGTTAGCCGCTCTGCTAACTATAGTCAGTGTCGTTTGTGTATTTAAGACTTTTATTATTTACAATACATGTTTTCAGAGTAATCACCACAGTTTGAAAAACAAAGAGATGCTGCATGCTGAAAAAAAAGAAGCATTTTCAACGTTTGGATTTTAACCATAAGGAAAATTTCAAATAAAAGTCCCTCTGGTTATTTTTTGTTTACAGCTACTGTGTATTTTCAAGGATTGCCAGATTGTGCTGCGTGTCTATGTCTAGACCAGAGGGTTTTCAAAAGGAGGTGCGTGTCCCACTGGGGTCCTCAAAGTTACAGCTGGAGTGGCATAAAAATTTTTTTTATTGATTAGATGTTTCTTTATATTTTGCACGTATTTGAAATAAAAAAAATCAAGGTATTAAAATGTTTATTGATTGACATGAGAATTATTAACAAAAACAAGGTGTGTTTATAAATGGCCACTAGTTTATACAGTGGGGGGGCGTGTGTTTCTTCTTCATCTCTCCACCAGTCACAGTCTCATTCTTTGGCCAGATGAATGCTGAAGCCTCCACAGCATCTCCCAGCACTTATGAAGAAAGGCTGCACAATGACGCCCAGCACGATGGTCCATAAGCTCTGGAGCCACCTGGTGGCCATCAGGATACAGTGGGTACAAGGACCAACAAACCTGTGACAGAAGGTTGGAAACGTTCAAACATGTATGAGAACAATGATGCGGTGAGTCCAGTTTATATCTCCTTTTTTTTGTTTTTTTCCCCTTCAACCCTGTCTGTTTTAAACACACACTAATGATAAAACACAGATAATCTGGACAAAGAAGAGTCTTCGAGTGACTCCATGTGGACAAGTCCTGATGTTCATGCATTGAAGTTTTTGAGTTTCTTGTTCCTGCATCCCAGTGACTTTGCTTTTGTGAAAGTCACTGGGATGCATTCAGGTCCTGGCTGCTTCCTGACATGGCTAAATGTGACAACTACGCTGCTAAAAACCTTTGGTTAGATGCAGTTTGTCTGCATTTTTTTAATCTATCTGATCCATAAAACAGAGTTTGAGACTCAGGTCCAGATGATATCATTCGGCTGTTTTGGGTGTTCACCTACCATATGTGGAAGCAGCTGAAGACGGCGAAGAGAAGACCAGTGATAACAGACACAGGAACTGCAAACAGCAATGTGACTATTCTGTAAATCCAGACCCTGGTCACCTCAAACAGAGCGTGACTCCAGATCCACACTCTGTCTCCACTCCGCACTGACACCGGCTCAGCGATCACATCTTCAAATTGGACCTTAAACAAAACCACAAAGAATTCAGAGCTGCAGAGCTGGGTTTGTTTTCAACTTTCGACCACAGGAGGGCAGTGTAATGAGCCAGTTGGCTTCTTATTCTCCCTTATGTCAAAGACTCAATGGCGTTTGTGTAAATGAAAGGCGGGAATTGGCCAGAGCAGAGAGTGGATGCAGTACCTTCAGACAGTCGTTGATTCCTCTGGGGTCTCTGGACGTAATCAGAGGCTTCGTGTCACTGATTTCCACCAGGGCAGACGTGTGGATGTAGTCGTCGTCGTCCACAGAGGGTTGGGCCCTCCACAGTGTCTGAGGTTCCTCCCCATTGTCAAATCCTTCAGACTCACTGTCATCGCCCAAATCAATCTCTACCTCCGCCACCGCGTCCCCTGTCCTCCTGCTGTCCATCCAAACATGTGAAGAAAACACAATCCAAAAAGAGAGAGAATGAGAGAGCAGGGTGTGTGTCTGTGTGTGTGTGTGTGTCCCACTGTGGGTCACTTGTACAGCGCAGCCCTCTGCTGGCAGGGAACCCCACTGTGGGTCACTTGAACAGCGCAGCCCTCTGCTGGCAGGGAACACTCAGGTTATATTGGGATCATACTGTGCTCTGACTGGCATTTGCAGATGGTGTTTGGAGTCAAGATCGTTTTCCTGTGCTGTGGTGGGACATGAAGGATAGATGAGATATAAATACTGTGGGCATGGAGATGTCTGTGTGTGTCTGTGTGTGTGTGTGTACACAGATACACGGGGGGAACCACAGAGAAGAAAGGTTAAATACTAAAAAAAATAAATAAATAAATAAATAATCAACAGAGAAGAAAAGTTAAATACTAAAAAAAAAAATAAAAAAAAAAATAAATAAATAAACCCACTCTGTATGAACTCAAACTTTTTATTTATTGAATTGAGTTTTCTAAAATTATATGTAACTCGACAAAGGGCATTTTTTCATAGTATTGTGCCCCCTACTGGCATAAAAGAAATATAACGAGTTTTATTTTTTATCAGGAAAAAGACGTCTTACAATAAAGACCTAAAACTCCGGGATACGTTTTAAATTCAACGCATCATTTGGTATAAATAAAATTAATAATAAAATGAATTCAATAAAATAGAATAACATTATTTTAAATTGTACTTGTTGTCCTTATTGATCAGGCAAAAGTTGAGGGGAAAAAAGTTCAAAGTTGACTTCTGGGTCATTTACACTGTTCGGTTAATTATGTCTCATCGTTGGTTTATTTTAAATGTTGTGTCTCTATGTTCATTATTGTCCTTCTTTCTTTTTAATATACACTAGGTATTTAAAGGCGGACAGACCTGGACTGTCAACAATCAACACGTCACTAGCTGACGTGCTAACTGAGAAAGCTAACGCTACAGGTATGTTCTTTCCGGTCTTATTCTGCCCACGTCGGGGTTTTTTTCTCCGGAGATATATTTCTGTATCTGTTTATGTGAAACAAATAACAAATGTTGGCCGATGAAAACAACGAAATATGTTTTTTTTATCCCCCTGTGGTTGTAGTTCATTACCATCGTGGTTTTCTCTAGCTACACATTAGCCGGGAGCTAACAGAGCGGCAGCAGGGACAGATAATAACGTAACACCACTGTTCTATAGGTCTGAACGACATCACGTCTGTCTAACCTGTGTATAATCTGCCTTTACATCGAGCTTCTCCTCCTCCGTCGACCTATGGACCCATTAGCAGACACTCGACTGTTAATAACAGGTGAAGAACGAACTACCGCAGCTTCTCTCCCATTGGTTACATAATATGACTTTGTTATCGTTGGTGTTTTAAATTTAAAATGGTTCACTTTGAAATAATGTACAGTGGAGTCCCGAGATACTGTACGAGTAAGCAACTTTTGTAAGATTTTGCCTCGTGATACGAGGAAACATCTAGTTGCTCAACCAGGCTTCATTTCTCCACCCGACCCTAGGTGGCGCTGTCGCGCTCACTGTCCCTCGCTGAGTTATTTTACCCATTTTTATAACAATAATATGACATTTTTGAAATTGTTATTATAAATGATCAATATATTTGTTTATATCTATGTTTTTATGTTTGGATGGGGTGATTTTAATTTAATTAATTGATGGTATATTTCTGTTTTAATTTTAGTTATTTTTAATGGAGAAAATGCAATGGAGATACAAGAAAATCTGAGACCTGAGTGTTGTTGTGGAACGGATTAGACTCGGGTATATCTCGGGGGTGCACTGTACTGTTACTGCAGCCCCCGTCTCTATAGTAATGGTGGCTGGTGCTGGTGCTGGATGGAGGTCAGACAGGGAGGACAAGAACATGATGTAATGATTACACAGAGTTTCCTGTGTCGGCGCAGGAGACCAGGGTATGTTAATGGACCACACACCTTGGCAGATGGGTTTGTTTGTGTTCCTGGCTGCACAGGTGAGGTCAGTACAGAGGTGGAGTACAGTATGGAAGTGACCAGAAGGACATAAATAAACAAACATGTCCAGCCTGATGGCACTTTGGTGAAACTGCTTTATTGCAGTTGTTGATGCTGAGCTGCAGCAACGTGTCAGAAAAGCAGCAGCAGTGGAGCTCCGTGTCTGAAGAGTGTGATAACAGACCACGTTTGACTCAGCGTCAGGCATGAATTTTTAATGTTCTATAGTGAGTGTGTCTGCGTTTGATCTACAATGAGCTTCCTGTGTCGTTGACACGGACAGTGGCTGCCGTTATTGTGGTCATTTAATGAGAACAGTCAGTGAAGGAGGATGTCTTTCATCTTAATTAGCATCTTTCAAAGACCGCCGAGGAGGAAATCTTAATTAAGGATTAAGGACTTCATTTTTAAATATTAAAAATACTAAAAAAGTATTTCCTTTTTTTTATATAGCAAATACATTTTTGACACATTTATATAAACATATAAAGGCAGTTTCCTTTAATTTATTACAACAATTCTAGGCTAATACATATTTTAATACAAAAATCCAATAATTTTTCCACACAGAAATCTTCATTAAATAAAAATAAATGTTTGAGGTAAACTGTCAATCAAATAATCACGTAGTCGATGACGGTGCATATCATAAAACTGATTAGGATTTTTCAACAACAATTTTCCCAGTGTGGGATCAATAAAGGTTCATCTAAGTTTGGTCTACTCTCTAATCTAGACAAAATACCACTTCACGTACAGAAATACAACGAGTAGATCAGACTGCATTAAGACTGCGGGGGTTTTTTTTCAGCTGATTTGACGTCTGATTTTCTCTGTAGAGGAGACAGGAATATTTATCCGTATTCCTCTGGGATCTGCCCTGGTATCCTGAAGCCCGTCTGGTCCAGAGTGCTTCTGGGACTAGAAGTTACAAAACTTGTCTGAGTCTCTAACGTGCTGCTGGTCCTGTGAAGGAACTGCAGGAAGTTCTCGTGGCCTGAGACCCCAGGACTGCAGATGACCACCTCTACTGGCCGGGTGGAGTAACAGCAGCGTACGATCTTACACAGCTCCTCTCTGATCTGTCGGTTCAGAAGTCCATAGAGGAACGGGTTGACCGCGAAGGAGGAGTAGGCCAACCAGGTGACTGCCTGCTCCAGGTCCCGGCGGACGCTGGTCTGAGCCTGAAGAGTCAGGTGTAAATGAAAGACAAAGTACGGCAACCAGCAGATCAAAAACTGACCGACGATGACCACCAGCGTCAGAGCAGCTTTTTTACCCCCGAAAGGCCGGTCACGCAAGGTCCTGCGGGGGGCGTTGGAGGTTGTGATAATGGTGATCTGGCTGTTGATGGAGTCAGAGCGCTGTTTCAGTTGGTTGTTAGTCCACGAAGGAACAGGTCCGTGCTGGCGAGCTGCCACTCTGGCTACCCGGTACACGCTACAGTACACGGCAAAAATCACCACCGCGGGCAGGAAGAAGCAGACGATGCTGAAGAGCAGAGAGAAGATTCTCCTGTGGTCACTGTGGCCCCGGTGCCACAGACCGTGGGCGGCACAGGCGGCGCTCAGGCCGCCGAGGGCCGGCCACCCGAACAAAGAGGACAGGCCCAGCGCTAGAGAGACCAACCACACCGACGCCATGACGACCGCGGTCAACTTCAGAGTCATCTTCACCTCGTAGTGCATCGGGTGAACGATGTAGTAGTAACGCTCCACACTGATGGCGGTGATGGTGAAGATGGAGGCCGCTGTGAGAACGACGTTAAAGAAAACGTAGATCTGACACTCCAGCAAAGTCAACTCCACACCCACGAGAAGAGGTGAACTGGAAACGATCCCTAGAGGCAGCAGCAGGACGGCACACAGCAGGTCCACTGCACACAGATGACAGACGAAGATTAACCTCCTAAGATGGGGGGCTTTGATGACCACCACCAGAACGGCAGTGTTGGCCACAAGAGCCACAACATTCACGGTCACCATTAGAAATATCCCCGTCAGGTCCTTTAGGTGGAGCTGGGAGTTTAAAATGACACCAAAGTATGTGTTGTCCGCCGAGGGCATCGGTACCGCAGTGGAGTTGTCAGGGATCGGTACTGAACTGTTTTCCTCCATGACTCCCACGGAGGTTTTTTTAATAGTGTTTCCAGACTATCCCATGGTGCAGGGACGGAGACGAAGGATCCTGAAAACCTCAGAGAAGCTCAGATCAATCCTGTGAAAGATAAACTAATAATATTTTATCTTTTTTTTAAAAAAAAAATCTCAGTTAAGTCTACAGGGAATAATGGAGCTTTTTTCTAAATTTCCCGAACTTTACCTTCTGTGATAGTAAATGCTAATGCTAAAATGCTATTGCTAAATCGCTACCGGTCATGTGAGTGCCTGTTGCAACTGGAAACAAGTCTTGGTGTTAAACCACAACACTTCAAACTGATGTCATTTAATATCATTTAAAATCTTTTAAAGTCACAGAAGTAAAGTCGCTGTGTGAATCCACAGGTTGTTGCTGCTTTAACTACAACAGAGGACAAGTGTCTCTCCTCTGTGGGGGGGAGGATGGGGGGGTGTTAAGAGGAGGCAGATGAATAAGAATAATCATCATTGAGGACACTCGTCCTCATCCTTTTGAAATGAAAACTGTCACTGTGTTTGTTTTAGTCCATCCACAGGACAAGGACTCGGTGAGTTTCTCTCTTCAGCAGCATTTTCTATTTTCACGTCTGTCAGAATTAGTGACCAAAAAAATAACAAAAAATAATAATGATCAAGTTATTCAGAGAATACATAGACAGTTCAATTTGAAACTTTACCTGAGTCTTTGACGGAGTTGACGTCACTGCCTCCACCTGTGATGAGATGCTAACCCGGATCACTGCTGCTAACTAGTTAACTAACTAACTAGTTGACTAAAACTGTCAGTGTTTACACCCAAAAAGTGCTCAAATGAGCTGTGACACTGACAGAGAGGTGAGGAGCAGTGAGTTCAGGGACACCGCACCGCTGGCTGCCAGAGGGGGAGAGACAGAGGGAGGGAGGGAGAAAAGGAGGGGGAGGAGCCACGTCCCACCTTACATGAGTGCATCAAACACAGCATGTATAGATTCTGTACAAAAGGTCAACATTTTAACCAAATGTTAAACAGACTGGACAGCAGACCGGCTGAACGTCTGTCGTACTCGGTAAAAAAAAAAAGTTGTCTAATGTCGTGAAGCTCTAATTTTTTATTATGGTTAGATAGAAAATTAGAATCTTTTTATTGTCCAGGCTTTCTTTTCTTATGCAAATATAATATTTAGGCGGTACGAGATAAAAACAAATATTGTAGAGCGCAACACTGACATCTGGTGGTTCTAACGTGTACAGCATTTTCTAAAAATAAAATTAGAAAATAAATAAATCATCGGCAAAGGCTTCAAAGTTTTAATATACTTTTTTCACAGTGAATAACAGCAAATAGAGAACCAGAAGTTGTGGAAGCTTCATTGCCATTCTTGGCTTATCTAAATCTATAAAATAGAATCTTAAAATACAGTATCACATGGTGTATTGCACAACTCGTAACAAGAGTACAACAACGGACAATATAATCCAAATACTTTCTACTTATAAAATAAATAAAGGCCAGCTGATTAAATTGTGCTAGAAGTGTTTAACAAACAACATCACGATCCAGCCTTTAAAGATACGACCACTTCACACCCCAACAGGAAACAGGAACTTTTGGTTATTTTGGAGTACACGCCACAGTTTTTAAGTATTCGGTTAGTTGAGTGGAACGACAGGTTTGACTTTCACACTTTTGGCACGTTGAGGTCAAAAGACACAAACAGATGTCAGCGTAAAACAGAGAGGACCCTGGGAAAAATGACAACAACTAGACTATGACTAAATACATTTGTTTTTTAGAAAACTAATGTCATCGGGAGAATACATAGACAGTTCAATTTGAAACTTTACCTGAGTCTTTGACGGAGTTGACGTCACTGCCTCCACCTGTGATGAGATGCTAACCCGGATCACTGCTGCTAACTAGTTAACTAACTAACTAGTTGACTAAAACTGTCAGTGTTTACACCCAAAAAGTGCTCAAATGAGCTGTGACACTGACAGAGAGGTGAGGAGCAGTGAGTTCAGGGACACCGCACCGCTGGCTGCCAGAGGGGGAGAGACAGAGGGAGGGAGGGAGAAAAGGAGGGGGAGGAGCCACGTCCCACCTTACATGAGTGCATCAAACACAGTGTGTATATATTCTGTACAAAAGGTCAACATTTTAACCAAATGTTGCCAACAGACTGGACAGCAGACCGGCTGAACGTCTGTCGTACTCGGTAAAAAAAAAAAGTTGTCTAATGTCGTGAAGCTCTAATTTTTTATTATGGTTAGATAGAAAATTACGTTGTCTAATGAAAAACTAATGTCGTGAAGCTCTGGTTTTTTATTTTGGTTAGATAGAAAATTAGAATCTTTTTATTGTCCAGGCTTTCTTTTCTTATGCAAATATAATATTTAGGCGGTACGAGATAAAAACAAATATTGTAGAGCGCAACACTGACATCTGGTGGTTCTAACGTGTACAGCATTTTCTAAAAATAAAATTAGAAAATAAATAAATCATCGGCAAAGGCTTCAAAGTTTTAATATACTTTTTTCACAGTGAATAACAGCAAATAGAGAACCAGAAGTTGTGGAAGCTTCATTGCCATTCTTGGCTTATCTAAATCTATAAAATAGAATCTTAAAATACAGTATCACATGGTGTATTGCACAACTCGTAACAAGAGTACAACAACGGACAATATAATCCAAATACTTTCTACTTATAAAATAAATAAAGGCCAGCTGATTAAATTGTGCTAGAAGTGTTTAACAAACAACATCACGATCCAGCCTTTAAAGATACGACCACTTCACACCCCAACAGGAAACAGGAACTTTTGGTTATTTTGGAGTACACGCCACAGTTTTTAAGTATTCGGTTAGTTGAGTGGAACGACAGGTTTGACTTTCACACTTTTGGCACGTTGAGGTCAAAAGACACAAACAGATGTCAGCGTAAAACAGAGAGGACCCTGGGAAAAATGACAACAACTAGACTATGACTAAATACATTTGTTTTTTAGAAAACTAATGTCATCGGTCACGCCCTACTATCAGAAACAAAAGTCAACAAATCAAAGAAATTTAAAATATTACATGTTAATTTACTACAAATTAAAAACGTTATAGGTGAGAGTCAGTGCCCACTACGACACTACGTCGGCCAGGAGGGAGGAATCCTGGCACAGGTTTGGATCCAGACTCGCTCTGTGTTCGTGCCTGATCAAACCCAGCCTCTTCTTTAATAGTTTGTCCTCATTGTTAAGCTTTGTTCTGATTGCTGTTCTTATTTGGCTGCAGTCCACACCAAACTTGGTCGACACGTGGTCTGCAACAAAAGAAAGAAAAGAAAAGAACAGAAGTTTGATTTTCCACTCTGTGTCTTCTCAGAGTGATGAACAGCTCTGTGCTCTTCTTCTTACCAATGATGCCCTTCAGGATGTCAGGTGGTAGCTGAGGCTTGTGGCACTCGTCTCCTGCCCCTCTACGACCTTGCAACGAGTGTGTGGCCAAAGTTTCTCTATCAAAAAGTATCATCAGCAGCGCTGAAATGTACTTCTTGTAGTCCGCGATCTCCGCGATCGGCTCGTAGAGGTTCCTCGGTATTCGAAGATTTTCAGCAAGAAACAGAATGTTGTTATTATCCTGAAGGGAAAAAAACAACAGATTATAATTTAACAGGTTACTGCAGATGGTGATGAGGATAAACTTTAATGATGAAAAAAAACCCCGACCTCTGAGAGTTGGTGGACTTCTCTGATCTCTGCCTCAGGCGGAGTGGAGAACGACAGGGTTTCATCCTGCGAGGTCTGCTGTATGAGTGTTTCCTCTCTTTCTTGGAGAACGTGGTTCAGTGTGACTCTTAGTTCGTGTGCTGTGTGCCTCATCTGCATCATTAGAGTGTTCATCTCTACACAAAAAAAAGAAAGAAAAGAAAGTTGGATTATTTCACAAACACACACAAAAAAAAGAAAGTTGGATTATTTGACAAACAGGAAGACAAGTCAAAAGACATGAACCAAAATAAAAGGACACTGACAAACTCTATTACATTTGTTTTACAAATCAAGGCCTTGACAACTGCAACAAAACTCTGTTGAAGATCTTGGTCTGTATATACTGTATATCTTCATTATCTTTAATATTTAAAAATTATTTGAACTGTGACAAAGATAAACCGGGTGGAAAACTCGCCTTTGCTTTAATTTGTATCCAAGTTTGACTAAATGTATAAAAACACTGGTCAGGACAAGAAATGATAAAGTCATTACTAAATATATAAATACACTGGTCAGGACAAGAAATGATAAAGTCTTATTTTATTGTCGATAAATCATCATCAAAATGTGAATGTCTGCAGTGTTAAGTAAGTTAGCAAGAAAAGAAAAAAGTTATAGGTGTTTTCTCAAAATGAAACCTTCTGTGTCAAATGATATATGACACTTTCCCCTTTCAGTAAGTATAAATATATATTTACTTTACCTTTTAACTCCCTGAGCTCCCTCTCAGCCAAAACCCTACATCTGCGTTCGTACTTGAGCTGAGCCTGCAGCTGATCGATCTTCATGAGGAGACTGATGGTGTCCGTTCTCATGCCTGGACTTCCATCATTTTCCTCGTCAAATTCATTCACTTCGTTCTGAAACAGAAGAGAGGAGAAGAGCTCACGTCAACTAAGTGATCGGTGAGTTTAGACCAGAGACCTGGTCTGAACTCACCTCGTTGTTGGAAAACGCCGAGTAGCTGGCTTCTTCGGACGGTCTGTACCGTTCCTCATCTGGATCACAGCCAAACACCTGTACATCCGAGTCGACTTTAAGTATTTTCATTGGCGGTTGTGTGGCGGTGGTTCCTGCTTCTCTCTTGGGAGGCATGTAGATGAATAATAACAACTTTGAAAAAGAAGAGATGGTGGTCAGTGGTTTCAACAACTGTTTAAAAAAAAACTTCACGCGTTGTTTTACGTTGTACTTTAAGTAAATGTATGCAGAACGAGAACGAAAAGTTAGTTCCTATCGCATCCTCCACTCTCCTCCTCCTCCTTCTTCACCTCCTCCTCCTCCTCCTCCTCCTCCTCCTATCCACCTACTGTGTCTAGACTGCCTTCAGCTGGAGACAGTTGAGTAATACTGCCGGTATTCTAATACATCACCAGTGCAGTACACGTTCTTTTTAAAAATGTTATATGTGTTTAAAAAATGTCTCACCTGGACGTGAAGCTCGCCCTAAAGGACACACAATAACGACACACACTGAGGACAAAGCCAACGCAGTAAATGGAAATAATACTGCGTAGTAGAGGAAGTAGTACTACTGCAGTAGTGCAGTACAAAGATCCTGGTGTAATTGCGGCTAATCTATAACAGCCTTGGAAAACATTTTCGGTTTAATGTGTCTGTAAATACTACGCGTGTTTTATCTACCACTACACTTATTTTAAATATTTAAGGGGAAATGTTATGATTTTTTTACAATTAGGTGCGGAACAGTTTTTGAACACGTATTCCCCGAGGGAAGACTTTTCCTAGGTACAGTTTCCTGCCTGTTGTGGTTCCACAATGTAACCAATGAAATTACAGTATTTCACTAGGAGGCGGTACCTAGATTTAAAACATGGCCACCGGCCAATCAGCATCCTTCTTCGGACATGACGGTGCATCCATGTTAGGTTGTCGCATACACATGTGGGTTCACTGTTGACTCGGGACGTAAACTCGTTTTACCGAAACGTTTCACGGCGTCTCAAAAATGTCATTTTTTATAAAGAAAAAAGAAAACCCCAGATTGTTAAAGAAGTCTCACAGCGCGGGGACTGGGCCCAAACGAAAGGTGAGTTAGCTTCGTGATTTAGCGGAGTGCTAACAGACTTACAGTGTAACTTATGAACTCGGACTCAGGTTGGTTTGTTAAACGTTGCCATTCAATGTAACTTAATGTGATAATGTGACACGACGAACGTTTTCTCTCCTGTTGTAGGGCGATGTGACTGTCGGTGTTAGGAACAAAGTGAAAAAAGGCAACTCCAGATACAACGATGAGATTTCCAGCGACTCTGAACCAGAGAGGTAAGAATCTCATGTGCTGCTAAGTTCCAGTGAATCGACTACAGGCATGGTTTTTTTTAGCTAAGCTAAAACTGACGATTATTTACCTGTATTATACTGGTTTTCTCAGCCCCACAGTACCCAGAAAGATCCAGAAAAAAGCTGAATATGAATATACAGAAACGCCACAGGAGAAAAAGCTTCGACTGGCCAAACTTTACCTCGAACAACTAAAGGAAGCAGGTACTTTCATAGTACATTCACCGTGATGCAGTAACATCTAGTATCCTATATATATATATTTGTGTGTGTATGTGTTTATATCTTGTTTTATTTCTTGACAGACGACAAGAGAGCTGATGATGAGGACTTTGGGAATGCGTTGGTTGCAGGAAAACTTGAAGAAGAAGTGGTGAGTGTTGTCCTTTTTGTACACTTATATCTGTGACCAGGGTGTGGAGTGAGTCCTAATGTGGTCTCATATGGACCCAACTCTGTTGTATGGTAACACAGCATGAATATGGACTGAACCAAAACAGCCTTTTCTCCTTTACACTGATTTGTGTTCAGTAGAGCTCATCTCTGCTGGTTACACACCACACACTTGTAGTTGATGTAAAATGAGTGTTATGGTTAGTTAAACGGTTTGTTATTAGTTAGTCATTAGTTGGTCAATTAAATTTATTTTGTAAATATGTATGTTTTGCTCCTTTTTCATCTTTTGTTGCTGTTTACTTCACAAGTTGAATTTCAGTTCAGGGGTTTAGTAGAAGGCACATTTTGTTAATGCAGCAACTTATTGACACTCACTTCACAAGTTGAATTTCAGTTCAGCGTTTAGTAGAAGGCACATTTTGTTAATGTAGTTTGTTTATATCCTGCCATTTCACCCATTTACTAATAGTTGAAATTAAAAAATATATATATTTCTCAGACTATAACATCAGGCAGATGTCTCTGTTTATGACATTTTATTATGTTCTTTCTTTCAGCTGGAACAGAAAGGAAAACTTCAGCGACTAATTGCTCAAGATGTGAGTAAAAAAAAAAAACAGTCCTTCTGAGAAAAAACTGAAACAATATCAAATAAATTTACTTTATTTTTTTCTTGTTCTGCCAAAGCTTCTTCCGCCAGATGCTTCAGAAATCCGGTTACTCAGGGGACACAAACTTCCAATCACTTGTTTGGTCATCTCGCCCGACGACAAGTGCATCTTTTCAGCTGCCAAAGACTGTTCCATCATTAAATGTTGGTTCACAGTTTCCAGTTTTGTAATAACGTGAAACTTCTAGCAGGTGTCTCACACTTTTATTTGTCACATCTTAAGGGGATGTCGAGAGTGGCAAGAAATTACACACAATACCTGGAGGAAGGAAAGGCACGGAGGACCGCCACGTTGGTCATACAGCGCACGTGTTGTGCATGACGATATCCTCAGATGGCAAATATTTGGTGAGTTGTGCGTAATAATGTCCGATATTAACTTTTTGCCGATATCTGATATTGTCCAAACACTTCATTTCCAATTCTGACATAAACCGATACCAATATAGTTTGTCAGTGGTGGTGTTTATAAAAACATTCTGTATACGATCCTCTGATTATTAGATTAATAGATCAATAAAATGAGCTGCAGTGCTGCCATCTAGTGACTTTAACTGTCATGTACAGCTGCTTTTCTCCAAAACTATTTTTAGGGCAAACATCATTTAACAAAACCCAGGTATTGACTTAGCGGGATTTCATTATCAGAGGAAAAAAATTATAACATTTCTTACAGATATTACATAATTATGGTGATATCGGGCTGATAATATCTGTCGGCCAATGTTATCGGACATCTGTGCATTCTTGGTTTACTTACTGCTTTTGTCAGTTTGGTGACAAAGTCTCATGAAACCATTTTTATGTTACAATGAAATGTTAATTCTTTTTTTTTTTTAGGCAACTGGAGACATGAACAAACTGATTATGATCTGGGAGGCAGAGACGTGTAAACATATTTATAAATTCACAGGACATAAAGGCCCCGTGTCGGTGAGTGACACGTCTTTCTGCGTGAATCTCCATATTTCAAATGTACAAGAAAGAATCGTTCAAAGTGTGTGTTCTCGTCTCAGGGTCTTTCGTTCAGGAAAGGAACTCATGACCTGTACAGTGCATCACACGACCGTTCAGTCAAGGTGTGGAACGTAGACGAGAACGCATACGTAGAAACTCTGTGAGTGACGGATGTCATTAATGATCGTTCTTTATGAGCGCGGTGATGTACGGGACAGTGGTGAATTCTTAATTGAATCGTTGCAGTTTTGGCCACCAGGACGTCATCACAGGGTTGGACGGTCTGAGCCGTGAGTGCTGTGTGACTGCAGGTGGACGTGACGGCACCGTGAGGGTGTGGAAAATAGCCGAGGAGTCTCAGCTGGTGTTCCACGGTCACGAGTGAGTCTCGTTGTTCGTGTTTTATGTTTAGCTCAAAGATTCGAGGGCTGAGTTTGTCCTTCTGTCTGATTATTATTCTGTCTGACTATTGAAATTGTAGAAAGAATTTTTAAAGAATTTTAACAAGTTTGATACTGGTGGAAAAACCAGAGCAGAATAATCAGCAAGTATTTTCACACTTTCCTGTTTCTTTCCTTTGAGCCTTGGTTAATGTGATGATTTTTTACTCTACATTTATCTGGTGATTTCATTTGATTGTCATTTAAAACCAAAGAGAAAAAAAAATCTCCTGCAGTCTTCAGTAATTCTGCCATGTTTTTTTTTCCTTTCCTTTTTTTTAAACTCACCTTTTAACCTCCGTCACGTTCGTACGAAACGCCTCACCTTCTTTTATTTCTGGTATCTCACAGGGGCTCCATCGACTGTGTTCAGCTTATAAACGAGGAGCACATGATAACGGGAGCAGACGACGGGTAAGACTTCAGTTTCCTGTTTTTATTACCCCCCCCCCCGCCTCACCCCCTCCACTCATGTTTCTCACTCCAACCTCTTCAGCTCTGTGTGTCTGTGGAGTGTCAACAAGAAGAAGCCTCTCTGCACTGTAAAGCAGGCGCACGGTTGCCATGGCGACACATCGCTGGAACAGCCCCACTGGATTTCTTCGGTGGCTGCTCTTCAGAACTCGGACACCGTCGCCTCAGGTGCCTGCGGCTGTGAGAGTCGAGTTTATTTATTTAAACAATTAATGCACACAGAAGTGAACAGAGATTTATTTTTGTGTCCATTTTGGCTTTGGTTTTTATTTCACTGGAGCTCCTTTAAACAGTGGTGTTGTATTTTTCTGTGCAGGTTCACATAACTCACTGGTCCAGGTCTGGAAGTGTGGTCAGAAATACCGTGGCCTCCAGCCTCTCTTCAGTGTCCCCCTGGTAGGACCGCAGGCTTTATTTTTTATTTTTTTTCACTCTAATACTGTGTGTAAAGTGAGTGTTTTGACTCGCACCGTATTTTCAATAATCCTCAAATTGTTTTTCTAATTATCTATATCTATCTAATATAAATATTTATGTTTGTATACATGTATGTATATGTGCATATATACAGTATATCATAATTAATAAGTGATGTGTTTTTGTGTCCCAGTCTGGTTTCATCAACTGCCTGAAGTTCTCCAGCTCTGGTCAGTTCTTGGTGGCAGGAGTTGGACAAGAGCACAGGTAAATAATCACTTTACATTAATGTCAATCACTGGACATAAACTGACTCATTTTGTTGATCAGGAGACGTCTCCATAACACAGATCTTAAATCTTCACAATGGTGTTTTTTTCTTCTCCCCAAAACGGCCACTAGATGGTAGCGTTAATCCACTTATCAGTAGCTGAAATTCTTTCGGGGGGCGGTTTGAACTTCATCTCATCTGTCCATAAAGTCCTGATGTGACCAACTTTAACTACAATCATCATTTAATCATAATTACACTCTGGTTTATTTATATTTAAAGTTTATATTTTTATTACTTTACTAGTTAAAAACCCCAACTCTGTCTGTTCTGGTATAAATTAAATTAAATTCTTAATTAAAGACCAACTACAGCCGTAACTCCGAGCCACGCCCTCTGTCAGGGATGTCTGTTTTTCACTTAGCCGCGTTTCATTACTTTTCCTCTGCGCTCTCCTGACGAGCTGAGCCTGGGATCCAGGCCTTCTTCATGACCTTTATAACGTTCAGCTTGATGAATAACTTAAGACCCGTCTAAATAAATCTGACCTTAATTTGATCTCAGAAAACTCTCCAGCGTGGTGTTAATTGGATTTGCAGATGTCAGGTTTTCTCTGCTGCGTAGAGATAACACAAAAGTGCTGCGTGGAAGCCGACGTGTTGAACACAGCCTGGAGGATAAAGTCGCTGCTGTTATTTACAGAATTCCAATTTCCTCCGTAGCAGGGAATCCAGTAAGCGGTCTCACCAGCGGGCGGCGCTGGATACAAACCTGACAGTCACGGATATCAGGACTGTACACAGATCAGATCAGAGTTATTGTAGGATTTGGTGTTTTTAGGGATGTCCGATGTTAACGTTTTGCCGATATTGTCCAAACACTTTCCAATTCTGATATCGACTGATACAGATATAGTCCTGGTAATGTTTATTTATTTATCAGCCACCGTATGAGTTTCTGGCTCCAGTATTCTGTACACTATTCCCTGATTATTAAAACAAATTAAATAAATGGGCTACAATGCTGCCATCTAGTGACTGTCACCTTCATATACAGCCGTTTATCCCCAAATATATTCTTAGGAAACACATCAGTAATGATTCTAAGAGATATTACATAATTGTGCTATTATCGGTCGGCCGATATTATCGGACATCCCTGGCGTTTCAGAGTCGTTCACTAAAGTCTAAATTTAGAAATCCTGAAGAAAAAAAACGTCACAGAATTTTTGAACCAACTGTGAATCTACACTAAGGAGTTTGTCACCACAGCCCTGATCTCAGGTCAGCGGTTTCCTGACTCTCGTGCTTCTCTTTTCAGGCTGGGCCGATGGTGGAGACTTAAAGAGGCCAAGAACGGAATCTACATCATCCCGCTGAAAAGGAAACCTTCAACTCCAGAGGAGGTCAAAGTGGCTGAATGAGTAGAATCAAATACTTTACAAATGTCTAAATTTACAGCTCAAATATTCTTAAATAAACACATGCGTCACAACTTTCTATTTATGTACTCAGTATTTCTCAGAACTTAAACTTAAATAATGTCTTAAAGACTTTTTTTTTCAACATTTTTTTTTTACATTTAACCAAAAACAACAGCTGTAGATCGTCGACATATTAAAACATCAGGAAATCCCAAAGATTAAAAAAGTTGAAGTATTTTAATATCAGGTTTTGATTATAATCAGACACATCGTTCACATGTATAACTGCACAGACTCGACTGTCTAGAACATTAGTGATATTGTTGCTTTGCTCTGCGAGCTTCAAATACAAGTATCAGCAGAAAAGTTGATGTAAACGTCACGTTTTTACCTTTTAACCTATAAACTAAAAGCAAAAAAAAAAAAACAACCAAAGAAATAAAATTAAAAAAAAACAAATTCTGAATTGGGCTGTCCCTATATATTAATACATTACTTGAATAATTAATAAAAATCTATTAATGGGTCTGTTAAATTTAGAACATTAAATTCAAAATTCAAATATAAAATTAAGAATCTAATTTAAGTAAACGAGGCATGCCTTTCAAACAGCTGTCTAGATACAGTAACATGTCAGAAACAGTCAGTCATAGAAAAGTCATTCAACATTAATAAACTACAGAAAAAAAAACACAAAACTTTAACTCCTGCGAAAATAATAATCAACAGTATCTGAAAGTACTGGCCGGTTTCGGAGGGCTGACGTTGCACAAGTGCGAGAATTAATTAGGGATGTCCGATAATATTGGTCGACCGATGTTAGCATAGTTACGTAATGTGTGTAAGAATTGTTATAGTTTTTTTTTTCTCCGATAATGCAAACCAATAACTCAATGCCTGGGTTTTGCTGAAATATGTATGATCTAAAAATAGTTTTGGGGAAAAACAGCTGTATATTAAAGTGCAAGTCACTAGATGGCAGCACTGCAGCTCATTTTGTTGCAGCATTCTTGTATGTAAAATGCTGGTGCCAGCAACTCGTACAGTGGTTTGTACAGATAAATAAATATTAGCAGGCTTATATCAGTATGCGTAGATATCGATACAGGAAATTAAACTTAGATATCGATATAGGAAATTAGGTGTTTGGAGAATATCGGTTATCGGCAAAAAGTTATAATCGGACATCCCCCATAATTCATATTTTGTAAAGTTTTTCACCAGTTGAAATGAGCACCATGATGGTTATAAAAAGAAAAAGAAAAACCTCAGTCCTAAAGTAGGAGCACTTTCAATAATCCCAAACACTGCGATGTTTTTTTCTTAAATATTAAAAAAAACGCTGTATTTACATAAGTTACAAGAAAACACGTTGTTACACCTAAAACAGACACACGTCCTTTATATCGTCTAGCCGTCGAGTACTTTTTTCTTTTATTTTTAAAATCACGTTCACATTTTTTTTAAACAGCGAGCTCTAAATTAACGTCCTTAAGTCCTTGTCGTAAATATTCAGATTCACAGCACTAAATACGAGATAAGTACAGCGTATGTTTATTCATATTATTTTTGACTTTTTTGTTTGTTTGTTTTATGAACCACTATTGCTTCACAACGCACCCATAAACACGACTGTTGAGGACAAGGCACGGTGCATTTAATCACATCTATCTGTAAAACCAAAGAGATGACGAGTTAATAAATTAATACAAAACATGTCGTACCGTACATCTGGAACTTCCAAAGTTAGCTCCTCCTAGTGGCTGTCTTTCAGACTTCCTCGGGCAGAGAAGTGTCCACACAGCATGAGCGCTGCGTCGTTCAAAACGAATGATGGTTGGATGAAGGTTTGTGCTTGAGGAGAGAGGAAGACTAACATTTCACAGGGAGGACGTCGTGGAATCCACCACCTCTCGGCCGTTACACACGGCTGGCACGTAATTCGAAGTGGATCCTGGAAAAACACAAACATCAGCGTTAACCAGAGCAGAGGATGATGGGAGCCCACCGCCGCCACTTGGGTAAAAAAAAATTAAGAAATTCTTAAGAGAAAATAATGAGACACTGGTATGAACTTGTCAAATTTTTGTTTTTGAAAACATTTTTAGAATTTTTTTTTTTTTTTTTTAATTATTTTTTAGAAAACAGTTTTTAGGATAAACCCTCCATTTTGGTCAGATTTAATTTTTTTCTCCAAAATGTTAAATTTTTCATGTCATGAAAAAATGTATTTTGAAACATTCTTTTGAATTTTTTTTTTTTTAGTTTTGAAAAAAACCCATTTTAATACATCTTTTGAGAATAAATTTTCTTTGAAAATGTTTTTTAAAAAATGTATATTGAAACATTCTTTTGAAAAAAAATTTCAGTTTTGAAATTGTATTTGAAAAAGTCGTGAAAATTTCTTTTTGATACATTTTTTGAAAATAAATTTCTTTGAAAAACATTTTGAAATTTTTTTTTT